GGCCGGCCCCCGGAGCCAGGGGGAGGTGCCGCCTGGCCCGCTGCCCGAGGCCGTGCTCGCCCTATACAACAGCACCCGCGACCGGGTGGCCGGGGAGAGCGCCGAGCCGGAGCCCGAGCCCGAGGCGGACTACTACGCCAAGGAGGTCACCCGCGTGCTAATGGTGGAAAACGGCAACCGTGAGCTCGCAGGGCCGGGGGGCCGGGCGGGGGCCCCCAGGGGGCGCCGGAGTGCAGGGGTCATGGGGAGGAAATCACTGGCAGAGGAAGCTGGCTGGAGGAAGAGGACCCCGGGGGCGTCGGGAACGTGGGCGGGGGTGTCCTAAAGCCGGCGCTGAGCTCCCCCTACCCCGCGTCTGGCCTGAGAGAGGGGGCAGCGAAGTGGACCGCTCTAGAGGGAAAACATGCGGGGGTCGTGGTGGAACCCCCCCAAAGTAGGAGAAGCAACTGGGGTGAGGGAGTAAAAAAGAAAAAAAAAAAACAAAAACCTCCTCCTGAGCCCCCTGGATGCCGGGACTGCAGAGGGGAGAGCCCGGTTTGGGAGGGGGGCGAAGACCCCCGCACTGGGGAGAGCTGTCCCAGAGGTCCGGGGTCGTGAGGCGGAAAGACTCACGAAGGACCGAAAAGCTCCTGTAGATGAAGCGAACCCCGGGGGTAGAAGCGAAGTGGGCAGTGGAGCCACTTCCAGAGCGCGCGGAGAACACGCGGGACTCGGGGCGGTCGCGGAGGGAGGAGGTGGCTGGGGGTGCGCGGGGATACGCCGCGGCTGGTTCGCACAGGAGCGTGAGAAGTACGCGGGGCGAGGGGGGGGAGCCCCCAGCAAATCTTCCCGATGCCAGGCCGCGGGAAGGGTGGTCCCGGGACGGGGCCGAGATGGTCGGGGCTGTGAGCAGCGAGTCCCCAGTGTACGGGAGGGGGTCGAGGGTAGGAGGAGAGGGAGGTGAGAAAACCGAGCTGGTAGGGGCGAGAAAGCCCCACGTGGGTGCCACGCGCGGTGGGAGGAGCCTGCGCTTTGCGAAAGGGGAAGGAGGACCCCACAGAGCTCAACGCTGGCTATCTGTACCCCAAAGTCCCAGTTCCTCTCAAGGAGCCTGGGGAAACCCCAGCGTCCGGCCGCCTCGCCCTCCTCCCTTCCCTTTCCTTCCCGTGCCCTGGGGGGGCGGGGATCGCGCGCAGAGCCTGGGGCGAGACGAGGCAGGTCCGGTCCCCGCCCTCGCGGCTGCGTCGCCTCCCGCCCTCCTCACCCCTGCCGCGGGCGTGGCCG